ACGATCGGGCAGAGGCAATCGTTGGTTGCCAGAATAGCGCGACTCGAGGGTGCAAAATCGCGATTGGAAAGACAATTTATCCATAGCGGTGGTGATTATGCGAACACCGGTAACAGTGGCGACACGCGCGCGGCAGAACTCGTATGGCGAGACATCGATGTTGCGTTCGGAACGCGGATAATAACCGGTGCGGTAATTAATACAGACCATATAGAACCGCGACAGTTTTTGGAAGACGCCTGCAGCGTAGTGTGCAAGCGAGTGCGAGATATTATAAAAACACATAACTGTGTCAAAGTGAATACCGCGTTTAACGGGGAGTTTGTGGCGGGTGATAATCGTGCCAATAAGAGTATAAATACAAATAACATAGAACTTTGTCGTACATCGCACTTGCGCGAGTGGTACTAGCAGCACGTTATCGAGCCCACATTAGCGAAACTTGAGGAGTTCCAGGAACGCTACAGTGGGTGAGCGTTGACGCGAATCCTCAATTTGACGGTGAACGTCAACAGGTACAATCGTTTGCGCGCGGGGTATCACTTGAAATTGCCTAAAGACATTAAAGTGAAGAACGCGGTGATCAATGTGCTGTCTATGGACAATGCGTGTTTTGCGTGGGCCGTGACGGCTGCTCTGCATCCAGCCGAAAGACACTCAGAACGGTAATCATTATACCCGCATTATTCAACGGTACTGAATTTACGAGACATTGAGTTCTCAATGACGTTGAGTCAAATTAAACAGTTCGAACGACTCAACGATATATCCGTCAACGTCTATACCAACGAGGGACAGAAGACGTCAAACGTTCTTCCAATACGGCTTACCGACCGCACGAGTAATAAACATGTCAATTTACTATACGTGCAGGACCCGCGAGACAACAATGTTGGACATTTTGCGTGGATCAAGAATTTATCCCGTCTCGTGAGCTCACAATTGACCAAGCACCATGGGCAGAAATACATTTGTGATCGGTAAGTACATATACTTTTTTTAATAATATATATAAATTTCAATAAAATAATAATTTAGGACTTTCGAAATTGGAAATTTGTAATAGGATGGCTATGAGAGTCAAACGCAGTCGTCTGTGCGTAGATGATCAGAATCACTGATTTATTCCAAATCCATTCCAAATGAAATACAATCGAACGTTTCAGCTCATAGATTGAGCCATCTTCAGCGATATCAAACGACGAATAAAATTAAAATATTGCACAGTTTTCCATTCCAAACTGGTAAGTTTCCTGGTTGGAGATTTCAAGAAACGAAATTGAAAAAGACTACTAAATCCATATCTGTAAAAATAGTTCCTTTATTACACCAAGTATTAATTAAAAATTCTATGGTTACTCACCAAGTAGTCTGGAGAACAAATGCATCAGAATAAGCCAAGCGAGGCGGGTATATAAATGCGGTGTGAACATCACAAAGAAAAATGTATAATCTGCACAAGGGATTCTGAGATCCCGACGGTACGACGCACGAAACGGTATTAACAGGAAGAGGTTTTAAGTCAAATTATACAACGTGTAGGTCAAATAAGTAAGAAATAAAAGTAATAAATATTCGGTGTATAAACAATGAAAATTGTAAACGTGTAGGTCAAGTCAAATTATAAAACGTGTCGGTCAAATAAGTAAGAATATAAAACTAATAAATATTTGGTGTATAAACAATAAAATTATAATCGTGTAGATGAAGACAATAAGAAATGAAACTAAAAATTCTATGTATAGGCAATGTCAGGCGGTACGACGCAAATTGTTACTTGGCATGGTTTACAATGTATTTAGAATAGACACGTATGCATGGTGCATAAACTCTGTATCCGTTTGCAAGTTGAGACTATTTTTTTGTAGCTTGATATGAGACATCTTTGAAACAAATCGTTTTTCTAAATATCGTTCCCTATCTAGGATTCCAACGTTCTCCCAATCAAATTTGTGGTCGAAATTAATTCTATGTTCAGTAATAACAGACTAGGTTGTTGTTTTTCTGCGAATGTGGTGACGATGTTCCGAAATTATCTTTTTTAATTGCCTCATCGTCTGACCAACATATGACGCGTCGCAATTTTTACATGAAATTTTATACACCACATTTTTATTTGATTGGGTAGGCAGAATATCCTTCTGCACTTTAATAAACTTATCAAGTTTATTCAGACTATAGAACGACAAGTTAACATCTGTAACAACTCTTTTAAATTTTTTTAATATATTAGAGACATATGGTACTGTAAACCATATACGTTGTCTCTCTTCGTTCGTTGGTGGAGGTTCAGTCTGTTTTCGAGTGCATTTGTTTAGCAGAGATTTAATTCTAGTATTAATAGTGTTAAAAATGATTGTCAACGGGTAGTCGTTCTCTAGGAGAATGTCTATTACGAATTTAAGATTTTTTAAATGATATATCGGATGTGAAAGTAGAAATGCCCTATCGACCATGCCCATAACTGTGCCTCTTTTTTGGGAAATAGGGTGCTGCGATAAAAAATTAAGATAACGGCCTGAGAACGTCGGTTTATGAAACCAATCAAATTCAGAGTGTTATTTTTTTTATCATTGTTACATCGAAAAAGTTTAATCTGTCACCTTTTATTTCACAGGTAAATTGTAACCTAGGGTGATAAGAATTAAATACCTGTAGTATTGTGTCAATCGATGGTACAGCCATAGCAATATCATCTACGTATCTGAAGTAAAACGGTAAAAACAATGTAAGTGATCGCAACACCCTATTTTTCAGATCATGCATCACCATATCGGCAGCGATGGGAGACAACGGAGAGCCCATAAGAGAACAAAATTTTTGTTTGTATATTGTGTTATCGAACGTAAAGTACGTTGAATCTAAAATTAATTGTATAGCCTACATGAATTCGTCCTTAGGAATATTGCACTTGTTAGAAATGTATGCCCATCTATTAGAGATATTTTCCAGTACTAAATTTGTAAGGATGTTAGTGAATAGCGATATTGCATCTAATGAAATAAGAACATGATCATTATTAATGTGTGTGTCCTGTTAAGTTTTGTAACTAGTTCAAAACTGTTATTTATATGGCTGTCAGGTTTTGGTATACTTGTGGAAATAATTTTATGTAGGAAAAAGGCTAATAGGACTGTCAATAGAGGAAATAATTATTCTATAAGAATATCCCGTTTTGTGAATTTTCGATAATCTACAGGCCCTCGGGAGAATACCATCACTGCACAACAATTGCTTATACTTGTCGTCAGAGATATATTTATGCTTTTTCCATCTCACGAGCGTATCTCTAATTTTTGTAGTAAACTGTTTAGTCGGATCTTTGGAAATTATTGTGTATGTATTTTTGTCTTGTAACATCTCCGTGATTTTTTCTTTATAAACATTCCTGTCTAAAGCTACTGTGCTATTGCCTTTATCAGCTCTGGTAAAAGCAATATTTGGATTGTTGTTCATGAATAATTTAGTAGCTTTGAGAGGGTTTAAAATATCCTGATAAAGAGGGGATTTATTAACGGAAAAGGAGAGAAGATTATTGTTAATTGGGATGGAGCGGTTTATAATATTCAAAATCTGATTAATATGTAAACTCCTTGTGTAACCTTTAATGCATTTAATGAATTCAATGACAGTTATTGTCTTCATCTACACGTTTATAATTTTATTGTTTATACACCGAATATTTATTAGTTTTATTTTCTTACTTATTTGACCGACACGTTTTATAATTTGACTTGACCTACACGTTTACAATTTTCATTGTTTATACACCGAATATTTATTAGTTTTATTTCTTACTTATTTACCTACACGTTGTATAATTTGACTTAAAACCTCTTCTTGTTAATACCGTTTTGTGCGTCGTGCCGTCGGGATCTCAGAATCCCTTGTGGAGATTATACATTTTTCTTTGTGATGTTCACACCGCATTTATATACCCGCCTCGCTTGACTTATTCTGATGCATTTGTTCTCCAGACTACTTGGTGAGTTACCATAGAATTTTTAATTAATACTTGGTGTAATAAGGGAACTATTTTTACAGATATGGATCTAGTAGTCTTTTTCAATTTCGTTTCTTGAAATCTTCAAGCAGAAAACTTACCACTTTGGAATAGAGAACTGTGCAATATTTTAATTTTATTCGTCGTTTGATATCGCTGAAGATGGCTCGATCTATGAGCTGAAACGTTCGATTGTATTTTATTTGGAATGGATTTGGAATAAATCAGTGATTCTGATCATCTACACACAGACAACTGCGTTTGACTCTCATAGCCATCCTATTACAAATATATAAATTTATATTTTGTGTATAAAAAATATACAATAATTGAGTGTTTTTTTGCATATGTCTTCACTACTTTAGTTTGAGCGACAAGTTGCAGTCTCACACTGTGGACTGCCGAAAGGTAAACAACTGCGCTATCAGACTACCAAACGAGGACAACAAGAGGCTGTGCTTCAAGAACCACAGCAGGAAAGAGCGACTTCCCTTCGTGGTGTATGCCGATCTGGAGTGCTTGCTGAAGAAGACACAACCGGAGACGGAACACGCTTCATACGCCTATCAACATTATCGGGTATATAGTATAGCATACTACGTATAGTGCTCGTACGACGAAACGTTATCGACTTATCGATTTCGTCGCGATAATGACTGCGTCGCGTGGTTCACTGAGGAACTCAAAGAATTGGCGCTTCGCGTAAAGAACATCTTGTCCAACATTGTATGCATGGTAGATCTATCGCGAGACGAATGGAAGACATTTTACAGCGCGGCGCAATGTCACATATGCGAAAAACCGTTCGCGCCGGATGATATTCGTGTACGCGATCATTGCCACCTAACCCTGACCGGGCATTACAGAAGTCCAGCACATTCGACATGCAATTTGAATTATAAAGATTCTCACTTCATCCCAGTAATATTCCACAATCTGTCGGGCTATGACGCGCATTTCATTATCAAGGAGATAGCTGCCGCGTTCGAAGGCTCGATCAATGTACTGCCTATAACAAAGGAAAAGTACATCTCATTCACTAAACACGTGAAAGACACCGCGCGAAGATCAGATTCGCGGAGCGATATAAAATTGTACGTAGTATGTTACACTATATACCCGATGATGTTGATAGGCGTATGACGCGTGTTCCGTCTTCGGTCGTGTCTTCTTCAGCAAGCACTTCAGATCGGCATACACCACGAAGGGAAATCGCTCTTTTCTGCTGTGGTTCTTGAAGCACAGCCATTTGTTGTCCTCGCTCGGTAGTCTGATAGCGCAGTCGTTTACCTTTCGGCAATCCACAGTGTGAGACTGCAACTTGTCGCTCAAACTAAAGTAGTGAAGACATCTGCAAAAAAAAACACACTCAATTATTATATATTTTTTATACACAAAATATAAATTTATATATATTATTAAAAGAAGTAATTGTACTTACCGATCACAAATGTATTTCTGCCCATGGTGCTTGGTCAATTGTGAGCTCACGAGACGGGATAGATTCTTGATCCACGCAAAATGTCCAACATTGTTGTCTCGCGGATCCTGCACGTATAGTAAATTGACATGTTTATTACTCGTGCGGTCGGTAAGCTGTATTGGAAGAACGTTTGAAGTCTTCTTTCCCTCGATGGTATAGACATTGACGGATATATTGTTGAGTTGTTCGAATTTTTTAATTTGACTCAACGTCATTGGGAACTCAATGTACATTCAGTACCGTTGAATAATGCGGGTATGATGATTCCCGTTCTGAGTGTCTTTCGGCTGGATGCAGAGTAGCCGTCACGGCCCACGCAAAACACGCATTGTCCATAGACAGCACATTGATCACCGCGTTCTTCACTTTAATGTCTTTAGGCAATTTCAAGTGATACCCCGCGCGCAAAGGATTGTACCTGTTGACGTTCACCGTCAAATTGAGGATTCGCGTCAACGCTCACTCACTGTCGCGTTCCTGGAACTCCTCGAGTTTCGCTAATGTGGGCTCGATAACGTGCCGCTAGTACCACTCGCGCAAGTGCGATGTACGACAAAGTTCTATGTTATTTGTATTTATACCCTTATTAACACGATTATCACCCGCCACAAACTTCCCGTTGAACGCGGTATTCACTTTGACACAGTTATGTGTTTTTATAATGTCTCGCACTCGCTTGCACACTACGCTGCAGGCGTCTTCCAAAAACTGTCGCGGTTCTATATGGTCTGTATTAATTACCGTACCGGTTATTATCCGCGTTCCGAACGCAACATCGATGTCTCGCCATACGAGTTCTGCCGCGCGCGTGTCGCCACTGTTACCGGTGTTCGCATAATCACCACCGCTATGGATAAATTGTCTTTCCAATCGCGACTTTGCACCCTCGAGTCACGCTATTCTGGCAACCAACGATTGCCTCTGCCCGATCGTTGGATCGTTGGAGAGCCGCTGACGTTTGGCACTACTGCGTGTCTCGAGCTGCTCGACGAATTCCGCGTATTGCAGCGTCCATGTGAAAAATTCACTCAAGGTAGCGACTTGGTCGGACAGTTCCAATAAATCGCGTTTGGTTTGCTCGAATTAATCGTGGCCACAGGGCATGTTCGTAGTCGCTACATTTCGTCGGTATGACACGTTTTATAATCTGATAGTCGTCAACTTTAACCGTTAATATCTCGCTTCGCGGGGCAGAGCAACACTTTTTTCTGCCAGATTTGGTCGTTTTGTGCAAAAACGCGTCGATTAAGCCTAAGTTCAACGAAATTGGTGAGGAGGCCACTATTCTTCAGATTTACCAAAATTAATAATATTATTGCGCCCGTGCATTTTCCGTGGTGACGGCCAGTGTAAAGCGCGTCCTGGAAAATAGTTTCTTTAGCAACGGTTGTTGTTGTGGTGGTTGTTCTGTTCTGAATCTGTTACGGTTCTGATGTTTGTAAAGGCGTTCTTGGGAATTTAGCTAAAGTCTCTTTTTATTCCCGATTGTGCAGCCAGCGAATGTGCAGCCAACGCAATAATATTTAGGTAAAAGTGAATTACAGATTACTTAAAGAATTCGTAATTTGTCAGAGAAAAATTTCTAAATCGTAAAAGTTAGTATTTAGGTAAAAATAAAGTATTTTTTTTGCAAATTGGTAATTAGTAAAAATAAATTCTTTATTGTTAAAATAATTCGTAACGATGCACCCCCGGAAACTGCATCGTTCCGGCGTGAACACCCTGCCAAGACCGCCCGACCGACCACCCGCAGGGCAAAGAACGGGCACGGTGTGCCCAACGTATTTTTTATCGTTAAAATGTATCGTTAGGAAGTCCGCGAACGGACTTACCGCGGCGACCGTCTCGACGCGCCGAGCGGGGCCGAAAGCGACCGGAGACCGCCGAACGCGATTGCGGCGTCGGGACGCCGTAATCACCGATCGTTCCGCCGCACCGTCCTGGCGCTCGCGATTGCCGTCGCTACCCCTGCCACTCCGTAACGCCGTCGCGACGCGTATATAAGCCAGGCGTCGCTGTCACAATTTGCGATTCCTGATCATCCGTCTCACCGACCACACCGATCCTGAGTTTCGTACCAAGCCAGTCCGAACAAAAAATAGAGCGCCTCCGGCATTCTCTGTCTTCGCCAAGTGCGTCTCGGCTGACGACCAGCTTCATCCACAAGGCTATTCGAACGGGGGTAGAGCGCTTCTCTGCCTCCACCGAACGCTTCTCGGTGGCCGGACTCGCGCCGTTCTTCCTCGAGCTAGCCGCTTGTAGCCACCGCCGAGCGCTTCTCGGTAGTCGACCTCGCGCTAACTCGATCCTGCCGCCTACCGCGCCGACTTACTGCGATCTCGATTGCGCCTCGCGTTTCACATCGCATCCACGCCTTGCGCCCTTTTTCCCGCGCTCCGATCCGCGCCGCCCGGAAAACCTCTGTACCGCGATCCTGCACTATATTGTATGAATCGCTGTTACCGTTTCACCCGCGATTCAAGCCTTTGTAAATATCCCGCGGTCACTGTATTCGTTGTAAATATCTCCGCCGAAATCTTTACGACGCTTGTACATATATTAGAATAAATCTTTGTTTATTTCAGAAAACCGAGTCGTGTGTCTTTTCTCCGCGCCTACTCCGAACCCTGACCAGCCGCGAGCGAATCCGCACTTCGAAAGCTAGGTTGTTTCAAATTAATAGTTTGTTAAAAATAAATTACTACTTATTTAAAAATTAATTAGTAAAAAATAATTACTATTTTTTTCAAATAAAAGTTGTAGCAAACATTTTTTCCTACAAAACAAAAAAAAAGAAAAAAAATTCGACCAATGAGAGCCGAGATATCCAAACTTACCCTTATTTTCGAGATGGCCGTCGATGCACAGGGAAATTTTGTTGGAACTTTGTGAGTTCAGGCATCTCCTATGACTTTCTACTCACCCTAAAAAAATTAGCTGGTCTATTTGTTTTGTACATATTTGGTGTTTTTGATGCTAATAATTTCACTGTACTATCTAATCTTTTTTGTGTGTGAGAAGAACATATTTAATTTACTTATTTTAAATTTTAAATGTTAGAGATTGCTGAATACAAATATAAAATTTACCAAAATTTATTTTGTTGTTATTGCTTTTGTGAATTATAATTAATATTTCCAGACATAAAAACAACGTCTATCATAATATAATGGACTCAATTCAATTAATATTTTAACTTGCCTACAATACGAATTGCGCTACAGATCACTTTCTTGTTCTCTTCAACTTTTAGAAGACAGCAATTTACAAGACATTTACAAGACAGCATATACATACGTGTGTGATTTTGGATGCACCTTCACACACACACACACACACACACACACACACACACACACACACACACAC